TAAAAATTAAAAAACTCTATATGTATTTAAATTTATAAGTATTTTTATGTGAAAGTTGTTAAATTTTGTCAATTTAAAAAAATGTTGTTTTTATATAAAAGAATACATTTTTATCAAAAATTAAAGTATATTTAATAAAAAATTAAAACTTTCTTAAATAAATATACTTTTATCAAAAATTAAAATATATAAATATAAAATGATTTAATTTTAATATCTTTTATTTTTATTATTAACAATTCTATATTATTATAAAAGGTTTTTTAACATCAATTCAATTTAATAAAAATATTTGTTATAAATTTTTTAATTTTAATATAAAAATTATACTTTTATCTTTAAATTTGTTTATAATAAAATTAAAAAAAATTACTTATAAAATTAAAGAAGTTATTATTGTTTGGTAAAGATATATAATTTTAAGAGTTATTAGTTTATTGATTACTTATTGTTTCCAATATTTATTAAAATAAACAGTTCAGACTTTTTTAAGTAACACAAAATTTTTAAAGAAAATTTATATAAGTTAGATTAATCAAGCACTTATCTTATATAAAAATTAGTAAAATCAATTTAAAATGTTTAAAATTTATTTAAACAACCACATTTATCAATAAAGTCATTTTCTATTGGATAAAAGAGATCAATAGCTGCATCATAAAATTTTTTGTACAATAATTTTTTTCTATTTAAATTTAAATTGATTTTTTTAAATTTTTCTGAAATTTTTTCATTAATTTCATCAATTATAATTATCAATGAATCTGGTAAATTTTCTATGCCTTTTTTATTAATATTAGAAATTATATATCTCGATAATGTTAAATAAAAAGATGTTAGATCTAATTTCAATACATCTCCAATGAATCTATCTAAAAACTTTATAAAAATTAATCGAGTGTTATTTTTTCTAAATATTTCATTATTTTTATTATTATCATTCAAAATTTTAAATAAATTAATGTCTAAAAACTTAGCTTTTTTAAAAATATAGGTTAATATTCTAGTTTTTTTAATAAAAAATCCCCTTTAGCTAAATAAGTATACAGTGCCAATGATTCACAGTAGAAAGCTAATATTTCAACAAGATCATTAAACAATTCTCGTTCATTTTCTGGAAAAGGTTTAAT